ATTTTCTGTTGACTTTTGTTACACGAATTGAAATATTTATTTTATTTTATGATTGATTTTTTGTTTGTCAATTGAGTTGAATTGATGTAAATTTTATTAAAATATTAATTTTATAACCAAGATAGTTTTATTTTAAAGTTTTATTACGGTAAATATTTTTGTTTGCAATACTGTACTAGAATCCATAGTAAATACTGTGCTAAATAGGTACAGAATATTTTAAATATAAGAATAATTGGTAGTTTGATCAAAGTTTGTGACACATGATACTGTAGTTTGAAACAGGAAATGAAATATTTCAAATAGTATTTATAACCAGTATTTAATAAATATTAAGGATCAAAGTACAATAATTGTACATTAATTATTAAACATTACATTCAACACATATTAGTCACACGAAGTCCCGACTTTGGAGGTCAGGGATTAGGGACTGGTTATGAATTAGCAATCAAATCGTTGTTAGTTTTTGTGATAAACTTCAAACAACTTTGCTTTTACTTTACTTTTAAACAAAGCTTTTATATTTATATTAACTATCATTTGATTACAGAAAACATTCATTTCAGTCATCAGTCGCCTAAACAGTGGACACAAACTATCACTTAATTAATCCCTAAAAATGAATACTGATATCACTGATGACATCGCTTCGATGGCAACTGAACCGATCGCTCAGGAGGACAATGAAGAGGTAATCATCAGATTTAGTGATAATAATCTCATGATTTAATCACAACTTTTATTTCATGTCCTAATAATAGCCGCAAATGCATGCCATAGATGAGCGAAACTACGACTTCGACGGCAATATCGGCAACTTTGACGAGTTTATCGCCGCCAACCGGTCGGTCGAGGGGCTGACACTCAACGCCATACCACAGGAGACGGAATGCCAGCTCATTGTCACGACATTCCTCATGCGAATCACACAGTTGACGGAATTACGTCAACTCGAGCTACTGTTCCTCACGAAAGAGGATGTCATGGAGTACTCGATCGGTAATTACTTGCGTGACATCGGCTTCAAGTGTCCGAAACTCCAGAGATTTCGACTCAAATTGTGTTCACAAACACCAAAACTGAATGTCGATGTCCTGAATGCCGTGCCATCGATGCCGCGGTTGACGCGATTAGACCTCAAACTGGTTATACCGCAAACTGAGCGCCGGGTGACCACCGATCCGCAGACCGAGCGCCGAGTGGTCACCGATTGGCGAGCATTTGATTCAGTGAGAGATTGGCCCAAAGGGTTGACTCACTTATCGTTATACTTATGGCTCTATTGGCCGCAACTGTTCCGAGAAATGGCGTCAAACCTGCGAAAACTGAAAAGTCTTCACATCTCTGACGCCAAGAAGTATATGAACGGCAATTGGTTGACCAGCATCTCAAGACTTGGGGATCTCAAGGAGTTGGTCATCAGATCTCGAGATGTGTACGCCGTCAATAGGACGTCGCTGAAACAGTTGGCGAGGAATGCGAGCCCTAAGTTGAGGTCCATTATCTACACCAATCACCACAATCACAATCGGGATCCATACTATCATTGGCTTCATTTGGACGTCAAAAAGATCAATAAATTGAGACAAACCGATGAATTTAGTGATGATGACTAGTGATGAAGAATTGACTATTTTGTGGACAGTTAGCTATTTTATATACAATTCGTAGAATTAGCTAAATTATTACATACAACTTTGTTTAAAACTGTTTTCGAGAAGCTAAATAATTGAATTTATCATTATAGATTATTTGAATAAAATCTTTTCATTTAATAAAAATATTTAGAAATAAAGGTGTTCAATTTTAATTAATGTAAAATTAATACAAAATTTGAATTAAGGACAATAAATATTGTCATACTGTATTGTGATAGGTTAAAATTGTTTAAACATAAATTTCGGTAATAAATTTGATTTTATTATATACTTTACAATTAAGTTTTAGATAAAATTAATTTGAAGTTTCTAAATTTTAAACTTTAAATATTTACTGACAAGTGAATATAAAATAAAACTATTTTTGCTACTGTATCATAAGTAAAAATATTTCCCATAAGAATAAGGTAACATTTAGTTAATATTTATTTTGGTATTGAATTTTTATTAACCATTTATAAGTTTTTAATTAAAACTGAAGTAATACTGCCATATTTAACAATTTTTAATAACATTCAAAATAAATTCTAATATAAGACTAATATAAGTCTTATAGTAAAGTCATTCAATTTAAAATTCAATTTTCCATAAAAATCTAATCTTCCATTTTTTGAAGTAATTTTATTTGCCTTTTAAAATAAAAATCAATTCTCATGTGTAAAGATGTAAAGGTTAAAAGTCGTAAGACTTCAGACATACACTGAGAATTGCATTAAAATCATATCCAATTATAGTCTAAAAATAAACGCAAAATCTGTTTTCTCACAAAAAACATATTATTGAATAGAATAGAGAAAAAAATTTAATCCAAACATCCTTTTATTAAAGCATTTAAGAAATCTTTAAGAAAATACACAAAAAATAGATACAATAAAAACAATTGACAATCAATTCCGCGATTTAACCGATCATTTCAAACATATCGAGGAATTGCGTGAATTGTGTGAATATGTTTCGGTAGGGTTTCGGCAACTCCTGGGCTATCAATGACAGCAAACTGTGGATGAAGTGCTCGACTTTATCGCGGATCAGTTGCTTGTCGATGAACGGCGACAGGAGGTTCACGAAGAGGGTGACTATGGCCTCGGGTATGGCCTGAATCCAGCCCTTGACGGTCCTGACGAGCACTGCGATCGGCTTCTGTTCGGCGGCCTTCCGGTGCTGCTTATGAGTGATGGGCGCCGTGTCGTCGATCTCGTTGTCGGCCACCGGATAGTCGTATTTCTTGCCGATCTTATCGGTGGTGTCCGCGGCGCTCATCACCGATACCAACACTAAGGCCACGATTACCACTAAATAGCGACTCATTTTAAGGCTAACTTTTCCGATAGTCTGTGCGAAGTATGACTCGTCTTAAGTGTTAAGAATCTAATGAATTAATTACTTATCGCTTCAAATGTGTTACAAAAACTACTAAAAGTACTCGAATTACAGTGAATCAAATGATTTTTGTTAGATTTTAATTAATTTTTGCTACTATTTTCTTAAATTAATACTACTGTATCTAGCAAATAATTATGCTAATATTAATATTTTCTTATCAAGCTTCCCTCCCATAAGATTGTCAACTAAAATAAATGTTTTGTCTAAAAGTTTAAAAGTTTTGGCAATTAAGTTATGGCATACAGTTAGAAAACTAACTTTCATTAAATTTACGAAATTATTTGTCAAAATATATTAAATTACAAAAATAAATTAAATTGAAATTTCAAATTCAATCTTTAAAACACCAAATTCTGTACAATTCATTAAAACTTATTTTAGTAGTAAAATGATACTGTACTTACTTTTAAACAAGAATTTCTAAATAGCATCCAGTACCTTTCTACATACTAATATAAGTGTATATAAGAATTAAATAATTAAATCCAAAAAATTTTGTTTATAAATAGAAATTAATTTTTAATTTTCATAAATGAAATGTTATTATGAAATTTAGATATTATTCGTAACATTTGATAGGACTTTTTCAAATCTTATATAATTTGTTTGTAAAAGATGTTTTAATGATATAAAGGAATGTAATATTTTGATTTTAATAAATGGATAAATCTTTGGGAAAACAAATATCCTTCAGATTCTTATATCGATTCAATTCTACACTTAAAATATGGTTCAAAAGTAGTTACTGTAATAATGAAATTTAAAAATTTGTAATCATATGTAAGATTTGAAATGCATGAATAAGAATTCAAATGTAAGGTATAAATGGTATATTTGTATTTTTGTTATAATAACAACATTAAGTCATCGAAAACATTACATGTTTGCTCGTTATAACGATTCACAAATACAATTCATATATGACTTGAATGACGAGAGAAAGAGTTATTAAATTCATAGGAATTTTAGAGAATAAATAAATTTGTTTTCGTTATTATTATATTAGTTTATGAATCCAATGTATGTAATGATAGAAATGGCTAAAATTAAGGCACAAAATCATAATCATATATCGTATGAATTAAATGTACACTTCTTTAGTGTTGTTTTGACACCAGAAATGTAGTGAAAATGTTTGTAATACGACTTTCTTTCACAATTTTCGTGAATAGTTTTCAAATTAAATGCAAAACTTTATTATATATATAAAAATTATATTAATATTTAAGGGAAGAATAGTAAAACATTGGTTTT